CAGCCGCAGCCTTTTGAAAGCTAGCCTTCAATGTTTTTGGAAGATGGCCCCCAATGGTTTAGCACACTGAAGGGCTAAAGATCAAAGGACGCCGGGAACAACTGGTATGTCGATTGGGGGCCAAAACCTGGGCCCAGGACTGGGCGAGCATCCACCAACAGACTGGTTGGTTTGTTTGGTTCAGTTTGAATGTTCTGGTCGTATGTCCTGCACCTTGGATGAACAGTTCGAAGATAGTTCCAGCTCGCTCATAAAACGTCCACACTTTCCTGAGGCGAAGATGTTTCCTGACGGATTGCGAGGCAAGTGTACAAGTTAATTGGAGCTTTGGGCAGGGGATTGAGCCGGGGGACACTTTGTAAAATGTTTGATGTCGTGAGCATGAATACCAATCGCTCTATCAACCAACCTGCAAGGGTACATAGAGCAAAAACATCAGCAAACACCCTCAAAGCTGTCCCCAGACACTCAACAGTCAAGATTAAAGGCAAGTCCAACCAAACCCATGGGCCAAAAAATCAACCTCTGGACTCTGAACGTCCTTTGAGGTTTGTCATTTGCCACTAGCCTTGCACTTTAAGATCCCCCACGGCGCAAGAACAAGAACGAGCTGAATCAAAAAAACACGATCTGGACTCTGGACGTTTCCAGCTTTTCTAGGCCTTCTGATAGTAAGCATGGTCCTGGCGATGATGTCCAGCCTTGATTCGGCCCGGGACTCAGCACTAGTTCTGGGGTCCAGTCCTTGTCGACGGCAAGCTTGCGCGACCAAAAATGCTGGTCGGTTGAACCGTCCAGCGATGCTCAATGTATATAGTTTGGGAGAGCTGAAAGACCGTTGTGAAACCGGCTGAAAGTCTGGTTCTCGGTATTTGATTCTGTTGTGTGAAGGTAACGCATTCTACTTCTATTGCATTCTTAGAGCGCCTCTAGGACAAGATTGAGTCAAGCAACTAGGGAGATTGACCTGAAGCATTACTGTACAAGTTAAAGTCAAACTGACACATACTAAAACTGTTGGAATCCCTTGAGGCAAAGTCAGCGCTGATGCTCTTGTTGGTACATGGATTTCCTGACAGCTCAAACCCTTCTTTACTGGAAACATTTACAGTAGCTTCAATGGATGAAAGGACCTGCTGCACTGCAACGCAGGTTGAGTCAGGTTGAGCAATCCAAGAAGGACTTACACATATGAATAAACCAGAGAAGAACAAAACGAAGGTGACGGTGAGGGCCCTTTTAAGAACCCTTTTGTTGACAACAGCGTGATAAGCTTGTTGGACACCGGCCAGCAGCTCGCCACGGAAAATTGAGGTCTTCAACTGCTTGTCCACGATCTTTACATACGACATCTACCAACGCTTCTTGAACCCCAGCTGCTGGGCACAACTAAACCCAGACCCCTATGCATGCAGTGCTGCCGCTGCATCATCCTCTTGTTTAACTCAAAATCAAAGGTGGCTGGCTGAAATCACTTTATCGTCAGCAGGCTTTCATAGAGTTTTGTGGTAAACTGGGCCATCGAGTCTAGCGCAAGATGTGATGCCGTTTGACCCAGTGACCACACTTTGCCACAAGGTGCCTCGCAGAGGCGCCAGATCTGGGTTGGACGGCTCGTGACCTTCGGCGCTGCCTGCTGCGGTTTTGCCTGGCTACCTATGATCGCCTCCAGTGCTGATGGCGCTTCACTGGTCACAAAGGGTGGACAGGAAGGGGGGTCGCCCAAAGAAAAATAGAGGAGGTGATGGGAAGACTCGGTGGATTTTGAAGTGATATGAGGAGTCGGAGCTAATCTGAGTATTGGAAGGGTAAAAAAATACATAATACACAGCGGGGTTCAGGGTTTTGTGTTTTTCTTTCAATACTTGCGGTCGGTCAGTGCAGTAGAGTATAGGTATGATCAAAAAGGACATTCCCAAGACTTGAGGTAATTCAGCGAGGTCATACTGTTGTTGTACAGTTCGTCCTGTGCCCTTGAGATGTTCAGGGTAGTATCCATGTCGATTCGAGAGAGACCTCGCCACAAATTCTCCAGCAACAACAGGTCACCGACATGAGCTGATGTGAATTCGATTTGTTATGTCCTCTTTGCACAGGGGCTGTGCTCATTTGTGCCTATCATGAGTGTCCATTGATGGATATTTCTGCAAGATGCTGCAAACGATGTTCCCACAAAATCTATAACAACCAGGTTCTATCTTGGAATCTTGGCTAAAGCATACGCATCGATGAGTTGTGGAACCCCATGTGCGTTGGATGATTCTGGTTGAGATAGTGCATCATGCTAATTGCTCAGGTTTATATCTTACTACGCAGAGCGCGCAGACTCACATGGCTCCCACACTCGTGGCGGTCTTCCTCGTGGGCTTGTTTTGGCCACGTGCCAATGGTGCAGGCCCGGGGACTTGGGGGGAAAGCTGAGAGTTCATTCCGCGGGACCAGTCCGTTGGCCTTGCTTAGAAGTGACGGCAGAGCTTACACGCCATGCACATCAAGCTGCCTCGAAGTCTTGAGTGCTAAGTTGGGGTACTTTGAAGTCTTTCTGCAACTGTCGGTGTTTGCATTTGGCAAAGTTATAGCACCCCATTCATAGTACGACAGAGCCCAAGTCCAGTCCAGACGAGTGTTGGGTCATCTCACTGGAACACATATCGTGAGCGAACTTCATTCATGTAGCGCCAGCATGCGCCAGCCATAATAGCAGGGCAAGCTCCACCTTCAATGGCCTCTGAAGATCCACAAACCATTCCTAGTGATCCGCTTCTCTGGATTGATTGCCTCGAACATCGTTCTTCAGGAGCTTTGGCTGGCATGACTGTGGGCTTCACAGCGGGCATTGCGCGCTTCACAGCCACAAAGTTAGTGCTTTGCAAGCCAGAGGATGTGTGGAGCCACTTGGCCACCAGGGTGGCACCATGACGCAAGTGCCTACACTCCAGCACGTTATATGTAAGTGGAACATGTGCCTTGAGAAGAATACTGTATTATCCTTAATGATCTTAATGAAAAGCCGTGGGTTCTCCACATTCGTTGTCACACGGAGTCGGAGTGCAACATGTTTACCATTCTCCGGGTCTTAGGATGTCTTGCGGCCTCTGTTTGGGTCCGAGGACCAAATATACAGTCTGTTTGCTTCAGAAGAGGCATTGGGTCGGCCAACCACTAGAACCCCAGACCCCCAAGCATTCAAACCAAGATCAGTTGTTCTGTATCAGAATGGAACAAACTACGAAACCCAAGTGGCAAGAATAGCCAATGTAATAGAAGTTGTTGAGCTATACATAATCTTCAGACAGATAGCCTCAGCAAATCCTGCCACTGCCAGTTCACTTCCTGCATTCCAAGGCATCGCTTGCATGAATTTCAACCACATGGGCTTGATCTTGTTGGTCCGGCTCCCAGTCGATCGCTGGGAGTTGACACGACTGCGGATCTGAAGGGCCAGACTTCATATGGACTCGAGAGGGGCTTCAGACCGAGGTGAGATTCATCAGGTTGACCATTTGTAATTACATTAATTAGTATTAGTATAGATTAATATAGCTTAAACATGTATATAAATATGTGTATATGTATATGGTTGTCGATCTAAAGGTCCTAGACAGCATTGTGTACATATCAAAATCTCATTTGGCGAAAGTGTTTTTCTCGAGTTGGCGGCGAAAGTTAAAAAAAATTGGCGAAAGATCTGGCGAAAGATTAACTATGTACTTTTGTATGAATGTTCATTTGCTTCCGGAACAGCTGGTGGCAGTGACTCAGAAGTTAGATGAGCTGTGGAAGTTAGATAACCTGCTGCTGCTGCGGCTACTACTACTACTACTACTACTACTACTACTACTACTACTACTACT